CTTTCCCTTTTATAACTAGAGAAAATTAATTTTTTTTCTTTAGTCTGTAGTTACCTTTCAACTAACCAGTCTTCAATATCAAATTAATTTAACATGGGAAAGCTTCTTGTTTGAGTTAATATTACAAACAAGTTGGTTATAAAATTCTGTTGCTGGGAAGTGATCAAGTAGGTCTGCCAGTGCAAGATAACCAAAGGTACTACACTAATTCCATTTAATTTTTCAGTGGTATTTATATTTTGCTAGAAGAAAATAAAAGCAGAATTTCATCACCCTAGTGTTGAGCTGACAGGAGTTGAGGTGGTCAGTTAGGACAATGAGCCAAACTGAAATTAACAATCAAGGCTTTACTGACTTACTGCAGTAATATAAGAAAGAGGCCAAAAAAGGACGGGCTCCTCGGTGTTCCGTTTTTCCCCATAGAATGGCACCAGGTAAGGGTCAATCAGTGACATGCTGCACAGATGACTCCTGTTGTTTCATGGGCCTGGGGGAAGGGCAGGAAGTGGAAAAATACTGAGTCAGAGTGGAAAAAGTGTTTTAGTTAAGGCTCCCCCATCCATCCCCTAAAGAGAACTCCAGAACAGGAGTCACCATGAGATTATGGAAAGGCTTCAACAGACACAGTTAAAAGCTATAAAGTGTCTGCACATAGAAACTTATCAACATAGTTTTTAAGTTGGGAGTACAGTTTTCTGGATTTCCCAGACTCCACAAAGAAACATAGCTGTTGCTGCTAGCTATGTGGAATGGGTGTCTGCTAAGTATGTAAAGAATTCCTTAGCCATTTTAGGAGATTTTTATGGCCTTCAGGCTCTGCTCACTACTCTGGAGACTATAAAACAACCCTGGAATATTTCTGAGTACAGCATATTCTGTTCAAACATGGGTTTCTAAAACACCAATTAAGTCATATGCAATTGGAAAATAAGGGAATGATTAATAGTATAACATAGAAGTTGCATTGTTTACATGCACTTTTTTCCTAGGTACAAGCAGTTACAATAGCAGTATAGTATAGACTTCAGGAAGGGGAAATCTTTGCTAGTACATAGGCACCTGCCCTTTCAGATCTATCTTAAGAAAATTTGAAATGAGAAACTGCTCCCAGGGCTCCCTCTCTGACCCTCAGCATTAGACAGACTATAGGCTGGAGGCAGGTTGCACTTCTTTCCTCACCTATTTTAACCGCAGCTTCTTTGGCCAGGAGCAGGTTGCCCTTCTTTCCTCACCTATTATAACATCGGCTTCTTTGACCAGGAGCTCCACTTCCATCTTCATAGTTTTGGCATCCTCAAGCCAACGTTTCTGCTCTGTTGGCTGTGCATTTGTAATATTGCCTGAGGCAACCTCCAGACATACTTGAGCTGTCTAACTTATCTCCTGAGGCACCAATTATTGTTTTTGTTAGCTGTCTAGTTATAAAGCTGCATCAGTTTTAAATAGTCTGGTTGCTAACACTTACTTTTCTCCTGAACCCTGTTATTTTCACATGTGTGGTTTTGCAGAATACAAAAGTTTTCAGGAGTATTATGCTGTGGCAGATATTTACTGTGAGACTAGGTGAACCAAAGGTCAATTCCCCATGAATCCCTAGCTTTTACTAAGCCTTACCTTCTGTAAATTTAGAAAAACAATGGGATTAAATAAATTAATACATGTGAGTGCCTAGAAGAGTTCCTGCATAGAGAAGTTTGTCAATAAATACTAATTATCGTCATCACCAGACTCCCAATATATGTTAGTTATTATCGTTATTACATTGAGGGTGTCTCTTTATTCACCTAATTAATTGAATCACATTTCATTTCCCAGAGTGACTGTAAGCTAGTACATGCAATGATATATATATTCAGGCTACTATACTGGCAGTTAAAATATTGTATATCCATAGTATAATATTTATTAATCATACTTGCAAACAGTTCATTGATAAATTAAACTTTTCCACCTGAATGAAAGGTTAACTAACATTTAAATTCAGATATGTATTTGTATTCTAGACAGTATGCTCCTGGCACTGCCTTTAGGCAAAACTGTCAAATATGTGAATATGGTAAATAGATGGGAAGTCAAGTGGCAAATAGATTGTGAGGTCTCTGTGTCTGTTAGAGGAAGGAGGTTGACTTTTTATCTAATTCTGTTTATTTTGTTTCTGGCATATGCTCACCAGAGAGCAGAGAAAAGCAATTGAGTGAAGATCAAGGGGAATACATGTGAGTGAAGGAGATAATTGTAAGGTGGTAATAAGAGATGAGGTAAGAAAGGAGTCCAGAGGAATATTGGGTTAGGACTACCAGCATGGAGAATTTCAAACCTAACCCAAGGAGATTGGATTTAGTTCTAAAAGTAGTAGGAAGCCACTGTTTTTTAGTAGGCAAATGACACGATAGAATGTCACTATTCTATTTTACAAACAGCAAGTAAAGCTTATTAACGAGTCATGGAATCAGTTTAATGGGTCAGGGTTCCACAGGAAACTGATAGGCATACTGGTGAATTTGAAGTGGGTTTTTTTTTTTAATAAGAGACTTTTTTCAAAGGCATGGTGGGTGGGGGAGAAATATTTACTACAGCCTTGACTTCAGAGATATTTGGAGAAGGGCTACTAGGTGGATACACTCATGTTTTTAGGTTTCTGGACAAAGAGACTTTCCCCCAGAGTTCTGGTAGCCATCTGGGACAATGGTCTCTTGGGTTTTCATGCCCTCTTGACTGGCAGGTATCACTGTTGTCTTCTCTTTGGCACAAGAGGAGTATGAAGAAGGAAGGACCAAACTGCCTAGCTCTTGCTGCTGCAGTGCCCAAACTGTTTTCCCTACCCATTGTTTGTTGATTCCCTTACCTACAGCATCAAGCTTGGAGTACCTTGGAAGTTGCTTTCATCCTTCACTGTGGTTCTTTCCTATTCTATTTTTTATAAGTGCTGGGGAATTGTTAGAACTTTCTTCATCAGTCTGATCCCTTTAGTTTTCAGAGATTCCTTCTATATTGTGTCTGTTAAGAGGGTCTTCTTGTTTTCCAGTGAAAACATGGCTTAAAATAAAAAAAAAATTTATGTATGCATGTATGTGCATGCACATAAACACGCATATATATGGAAAATGACAAAGCTTTTGGGAGGGTAGCTGGATCATTGGCTTATTTTTGTCATCTTAATCCAGTGTCTAGTAAAGCATTTTGTATTATCTTGGGTTTTTTCCCCTTTAGATTACAGGATCTTATCAGTCAAAAAAAGGCTGAGGACAAAGAGGGAAAAGATGAGCCCAGCAAAGATAACCAGCAGCAGACCCTAATTGACCAGAGATACTTTCAGGTATTGAACAGTTGACAGACTGGTGTTTACAGTGAACCTTGGTTACAATCACAGTATAACAAATTATCAGTTGGTAAGGAATACTTGTATCCTTTATTTGTGTTGCTTAGCCTGTCTTGTCTTGCCATGACATGCTACTTGGCTAAAAGTTGGTAACTTGACTGAGAATTTGTCTTATCCTTGAAAAGAGACTTTGGCCTAGTTCAAAGTAGGGTAGTGAAAAGCTGATAAGATTTTAACAGATTTTATAATCCTTTTCTGTACCTGCTTAAGCCATTTCCCTTTTTATTGTTTTTGTTTTTGCTATTGTTGATATTATTATTATATGAGTAAATCTATTTCTTAAGGTCCTTGTATGCTTTTTTTAAATTTAGATATTTAGTCCATCTGAAATTTAATTTTCTATGTGGTATGATGTAAAAATCTAACTTTACTTGATTTATAGACCATTTATTATTGAATAAATGAGCAAATAAGCCTGGTAGTTTACTGACTGAACTGGGCCTGCACTCATATTTTATTGGGCCCATACAGGGTTTTTTAAACTTTGAATTAATTACTAATTTTTTTAAATTAAGGGATTTTTATTTAAGTCCTTATTTCTAGTTTCTCTTAAAAAGCCAAAGAATCTGGCAGCAAATTCTTGCATAGTTGTTATCAGCACAGAATTAGGCCTTTCCCCTCTCACATATGGGCATGTGCTCTTCAGATAGCCACAGTCCCACCCTGTCCTTGCTTCACTCATTTATGCTCTTACCTGGCTTCTATAGGCATTTGAGTTTGCAGCTTCTACTTGACCATTCTTTCTCTGCTTCACTGAATTGAAACGTATATCATATACCATATGCCCTTAGATGCATAGGTTTGTTTCTAGACTCTCTAGTCTCTTCCATTTCTATACTAATTTCTGCAGTTTTATAGTAGTTTTGATACCTTTTAAGGTAAGTGTCTTGTTATTGTTCTCTTAAATTTTTTCCTTGGATATATTTTTAGCACATTTATTTTCCTGTATGAATAATTTGTCAAATTCAAAAATAGATCCCATTGAGATGAGCTGAAATTGAGTTAATGTTTTAGATTAATATTTGGAAAAATAACACATTTACAGTTTTTTAAAAAATTTTATTTATTTATTTATTTGGCTGCGCCAGGTCTTAGTTGTGGCATGTGGGATCTTTAGTTGTGGCATGTGGGATCTTTAGTTGCAGCATGTGGGATCTTTATTGCGGCATGAGAACTCTTAGTTGCGGCATGTGGGATCTAGTTCCCTGAACAGGGATCTAACCTGGGCCCCCTGCATTGGGAGCGTGGAGTCTTAGCCACTGGACCACCAGGGAAGTCACCACATTTACAGTTTTGAATCATCTCACTCAGAACTATGTCTCTAATTTTCTTTGAGTCTTCCTTTCTAGCTTTCAATAAAGTTTTATATATTTTTAAATTTAGCTTTTGCATATTTTTTGTTCTGTTCATTTCCTAGGTTATCTAGTTATCTTATAACTTTTATTGCTATTATGAATGGGATCCTTTTTCCATTACATTTTCTAACTGATTGTTGCTGGTTCTTCGTACATCTCTGTGTTGACTTTATGTTCAGGCACCTTTGTGAAAACTGTTTTGTTTTAGATAACTCTCTTGTATCCACTATATAACTAAATTTCATTTTGTTTCTTAGATTTACTTTGAGAGGGTTTGTTCTTTTATCAGGGGAATTAAACCATTCATAGACACTGAGACCAACTTATATATCTGCTTTTATTCCTGATATCTTACTTTCTGTTTTCTATTTACATGGTTTCTTGTTCCATTCTTTTCTTTCCTGACATTTGCTAGGTGGAGATTCCTTTGCTCTTTTTTTCTCTTCAAGTAGTTAGGACAATCATCATCTTAATTCTTTTCTAATTTTGTAATGATTACCCTTAAAAACATTTTTTTTTTTTACCCATACCAAAAGTTTGTCAGTACCTGCAACTCTTTCTGAATAAGATGAGACCTGTATTGTGACTTTTCTTTCATAGATTCTAGTCTCTGGGAATTTTTTATTTTGCCATTTATTCATTGTTAATACATCTTTTGCTGCCAATCATCAGAGTGTGGCTAAGTTATAAAGAAGAATATATACCTCTAGGAAACCTTGGGGCTTTGCTCTATCGAAAGTGCTCAACTGGGTGATTTTGGGGCACCACTATCCAGAAGTGCTGGTGTCCAGATGCATTTTCCTTTGCAATGAAGAGTCGTGCACTTAAAATCCTCCGAGATGGATTATTAATCCTGCTTTGCAGGAAAGGAAAATTCTCCATTCTCGGCCACTGGCCACCCCTCTCCGGAGGCCCTGCTATCATCCAGGTGTTCCAAGCCGGAAGGGCACTTTTTGGGAATGACCATGCTCTGTGGAGGGACAGAGCCAGCCCCCAGCTTCTCTACACAGAGCCCCCTCCACTAAAGCTCCAGAAATCAAATACCGTAATTGCCAGAAGAAGCATTAAAAAAAAAAAAAGTCCAGCCACTAACCTCACATGCAAATGGACCAATAACTCTGGATTCCTCATTGTGAGCTGCTCTCCATACCCTGAATTACCTATGAATTTCATCTTTTTTTCCTTTGAATTTGCATCTCTTCAAGACACAAGATTAAAACAAAATTCACACTGAATTGGATTTTAAATGATCTTCCTTTTATTTATCCTTCGTCTTTCTTATGTGGATATGCAAGTGAGAAGACTGAGACTGGATATTCTCACCGTGCTCACTCCCTTAATCTGTCCATCTAGAGGTTTGGCTTCTACAAACCAAGGCAAGACTCCAGCATCCATGACCTTCCCTGAATTCCAAATGGCAGATTCGAACAGTTGCTAATCAAGGGGAGAGTAGCCAACAAACCACCTGAGGCAGGATTGAAGGGGCCAGAGAAGATCGTCAAGATTAGGAGACCTGAGATGATATTAGAGGAGTGCAGGCCTGGCTCACACCCTAATCTTGTCAGAGACCCCACCTTTGAACCACTGTTATAAAACCCCTGATCAAATCCTCCCAGATCAATTGCAGTGTGGAGCGTAGTGCTCCAGTAGATGGCCTGCCAAGCTGAGGTGATGGGCGCAGCCGTTTCACACTAGGAACTCTCATCTGAAGAGCAGGGTACACTTCAAGTGAAACTAGACAAGCACAAAGGAAAAGAAAAAAAGATACGCAGGTGTTCCACCAGATGTGGCTCTGCCCACCTGAAGGACAAGATCCAGCGCCACCCACCAGAGCACAGGCACCAGTCCCCTCCACCAGGAAACCTACACAAGTGACTGAACCAACCTTACCCACTGGGGGCGGACACCAAAAATAACGGGAACTATGAACCTGTACCCTGCGAAAAGGAGACCCCAAACACAGTAAGTTAAAATGAGAAGACAGAGAAATACGCAGCAGATGAAGGAACAAGGTAAAAACCCACCAGACCAAACAAATGAGGAGGAAACAGGCAGTCTACCTGACAAAGAATTCAGAGTAATAATAGTAAAGATGGTTCAAAATCTCAGAAATAGAATGGAGAAAATACAAGAAACGTTTAACAAGGACCTAGAAGAACTAAAGAGCAAATGAACAATGATGAACAACACAATAAATGAAATTAAGAATTCTCTAGGGCTTCCCTGGTGGGGCAGGGGTTGAGAGTCCGCCTACCGATGCAGGGGACACGGGTTCGTGCCCTGGTCTGGGAGGATCCCGTGTGCCGCGGAGTGGCTGGGCCCATGGGCCATGGCCGCTGAGCCTGCGCGTCCGGAGCCTATGCTCTGCAACGGGAGAGGCCACAACAATGAGAGGCCCGCGTA